TTTAAGACAGAGTCTCACTCTGTTGCTTAGGCTGGAGTACAGTGGCACCATCTCAACTCACTGCAACCTCTGCCTCCTGGTTCCAGCAATTCTCCCGCCTCACCCTCCCAAGTAGCTGGGATTACAAATGTGCACCACTATACCCAGCTAATTTTTGTATTTTTAGTGGAGAGGGGATTTCACCATGTTGGCCACGTTCGTCTTGAACTCCTGACCTCAGGTGATCCTCCTGCCTCAGCTTCCCAAAGTGCTGTACAGGCATGAGCCACCACACTCAGCCACAAAATTCTTTATGAATTTTACACTTAGCAGATATTAATGATGGAAGCCATAGTCAGCTCCTAATACAAGTCCAAAGAATTGACTATTGTATCATTAGCTGCCTGGTTACATTAGCTTCCTAGCTCCTTGTAAAGACCACCACTAATCCCTTAAAAACAAGAGGTCTGGCAGTGGTAGCACAACCTAAGGTGGCATTACAGGTCTTTGAGCAAGCCATAGCAACTTTTCTGCCAAAGTCAGCTTAGTTTAGACTTCAGTGATTCAGGCTATTGCCATTCTCATGTATGTCTCTATGAGTCTGTTTATCCGTACATCTGCCCTTGGCTGACTCTGACTCATTGCTTGCTTGCTTGCTTGTTTCCTTGCTTTGGAAAACTATTGAAGATACGTACATAAGTCTTTAGGAAGGGGATTGCTAAAAAATAACATTGCAAAGTGATGGAAAAGGGTGGAGAACAGGGAAGTAACCAGGCTGGATGGCTCAAAATATAAATTAATGAAGAACTCTTTATGAAGTATCAGTCAGACTTTGTGATCAAGTGATGCAATATAGGAATTATGTAAAAGGGAAGAATATCCAATACTGACCTATTAGAGAGGTACTTCACAGGCTCCTTGATTTGCATATTTAAAGTTCCTAAGGTTATAGCTTTTCCCCCCTTTTGGCTGTGTAGTAAACTGTTTTAATCCACGGTTGTGCCTTATTGTTCCATTAAAATTGTATCTTTGATCCATCAATAAATACTTGTGGTTGAAACAAAATAACTTGGTTGATTTTGTCGATTTTACAAGAATTTTATGTAACTTAGTCCCTTCTTCAAGTTTGAAATCACAGTGTCTCCCTTACTCAAGTTTGTCTGTACTGTCAGCTGCAGTCTACTTTGTTGCTGCCTGGACATATGAAGTGGAAACATTTTTCTACAAGCCAGCACTCTCAGCCTCTAGACACGGTTTTGTCAGCCATGGCCACTTCCCATTCATTCCAGGTAAGATGCAATTTCTATTCTTGACTCCCTGATTCTTTAAAGATAGAAAAAGCCTAAAAATGCAGTATCTGTCTATTCCTTGTTATTAAGTTGCCCACCTCTTCCTTCATGTGCAGCCTCAGTGGTGACATACTCTGCTTTTACGTGGCTTTTCCCATTTTCATTTCTAAGACTAAGTCTCACTTTGTTGCCCAAGCTGGAGGGCAGTGGTGTGATCTCAGCTCACTGGAACCTCCACCTCCCAGGTTCAAGCGATTCTCCTGCCTCAGCCTCCCAAGACAATGGGATTACAGGCGTGTGCCACCACACCCAGCTAATTTTTAGTTTAGTTTTGTTTTCTTTGGGAAAGAGTCTCCCTTTGTTGTCCAAGCCGGAGTGCAATGGCATGGTCTTGGCTCAGTGCAACCTCTGCCTCCCGGGTTCAAGCGATTCTCCTGTCTCAGCCTCCCACGTAGCTGGGATTACAGGTACCCACCACCATGCTCGGCTAATTCTTGTATTTTTAGTAGAGATGGGGTTTCACCATGTTGGCCAGGTTGGTCTTGAACTCCTGACCTCAGGCGACATGCCCGCCTCAGCCTCCCAAAGTGCTGGGATTACAGGTGTGAACCACTGCACCCGGCCACGGCCTATTGTTTCTAATTTTATCTGTTATAAAATATTGATGTAATGAATCTCTGCATATAACTTTTTACTTTGAAAAATTTTACAAGGGTTGAATTACTAGGTCAAAGTTCAAGCATATACTTACATTGTTTGCTATGTTTATTATGCTCCTTTATCTTTGGTGTTCTATATAGGATATCTTTATCGTCACTTGTTTTTCCAAATTGATTTTAGAATCATTTTGTCAATTGCATTTAAAACGTTATTAGGCTCACGCCTCTAATCCCAGCACTTATGGTGGCTGAGGTGGACAGATCACTTGAGGCCAGGAGTTCAAGACCAGCTTACCCAACGTGGCGAAACCCCTTCTCTAGCAAAAATGCAAAAATTAGCTGGGTGTCGTGGTTGGCGCCTGTAATCCCAGCTGCTCCAGAGGCTGAGGCAGGAGAATCGCCTGAACCCAGGAGGCAGGGGTTGCAGTGAGCCGAGACTGTGCCACTGTATTTCAGCCTAGGCAACAAAGCAAGACTGTCTCAAAACACACACACACACACACACACACACACACACACACACACACTATTAGAATAGATTGTGTTAATTGGGAATTGGGATTTGGAACAAGTATTACTGCAGAGATGCCTTAAAAGAGGACTACCTTGCTCTTTCATCAGGGCCGCCAACATGCCATCCAGACTGAGGAAGACCCAGAAACTTCAGGGCCACATTTGCAACGGCTGCATCTGTAAGCACTGGAAACACCCCGGAGGCTGTGGTAATGCTGGTGATATGCATCACCACAGGACCAACTTCAACAAATACCGCCCAGGTTCCTTTGGTAAAGTTGGTATGAGGTATTACCTCTTAACAGAGGAACCAGACTTCTGCCCAACTGTCAACCTTGACAAATTTTGGACTTTGGTTAGGGAGCAGACACAGGTGAATGCTGCTAAAAACAAGACTGGGGCTGCTCCCATCACTGATGTGGTGCGATCTGGCTATACAAAGTTCTAGGAAAGGGAACGCTTACAAAGCAGCTTGTCATCTGAAGGCTAAATTCTTGAAGAGCTGAGAAGATTAAGGGTGTGGGGGGAGGGGGGACTGTGTCCTTGGGGCTTGAGGCCGCATGGAGGGAGGTTCATTAAATGCTAACTACTTAAAAAAAAAAAGAGGACTTCGTTTACAAACAGATTTTCTTATACTACAAACTAGGTATGGCCACTGCCGCCTGGCCAGGAATCTATATTGCTACGAATCGACCAGGTGACAGCCCTCTTGGTGTCTGGGAAGCACGGTGGACCTACACCGCCTACGCCAGGCCCCGCTCGTCTAACACGGATGAGGAGCCACCCCATATACATACCCTCCCTGTCCCTCTTGGAAACGTTGCAGAAGAAAGGATGTCCTACAGTTGGGTGTAGCAAACGACAAAATTGCCAGTCATAACAGGTTACCTCTATGTAGAAGCGCCCTCAGAAAAGTGACGAATCCTCTCCTGTATTGATCAAAGCTGTAAACAGCAGGACATTTGGGTCCTTTAAGAGTCTAAATGAAGGCCGGGCGCGGGTGGCTCACGCCTGTAATACCAGCACTTTGGGAGGCCGAGGCGGTTGGATCACAAGGTCAAGATATCGAGACCATCCTGGTCAACATGGTGAAACCCCGTCTCTACTCAAAATACAAAAAATTAGCTGGGCATGGTGGCGCGTGCCTGTAATCCCAGCTACTCAGGAGGCTGAGGCAGGAGAATTGCCTGAACCCAGGAGGCGGAGGTTGCGGTGAGC